TTTCCGCTTGGTTAATTTTTCAGTCTGACTTCCTCTTCTGCTTAGCGCTTCCTGTTTGATTAAGAGAATAAATATTTTTTTTTAAATATAAGCTCATAAGCTTTATGTGCTTCGTTTGGTAAACGTCCGCCAACGGAATACTGTTAGTTTTGTCCCAGGCACTGTTTTAAGTCAAAGGTCAGAAAATATGGGTCGTATACATTACTTTGCCGCCCTCGACGGCCCACTGGTTGACAGTTAGAACGATGTGATGAAACTACGGTCGACCTCGCAGCTACCGTACCCCTCGAAATGTTCCATGAGTGACGGCCGACGATCGCTCACATCTGCGCGGCTATTTGGCGGTGCGCGCTAAACGTCTTGACAGCTTTATGTACGCTCGTCAATCGTGAGTGCTCGCGTGACTCCACGTTCACAAAACCACCGTTCTTGCGTTTCGTCACTCGGCTGCGCACTTTGGTGCCTCATCGCAGTATGCGCCGGCAGGCGTTATTCTGCAGTGAACGATTGACGTAATGAACTCGATAGTGTCGTTGATGATCAGAGGAGTGTCACGTGAAACTTTAATGACCTCAGTTTAAATCCCCAAAATCAGGAGTAAATAACAACAGAATGAATGAACGATTTACCGTACTGCATGAATGGATTCTGTCACGTGGGTACAACAACAACTTCGTTTATTATATTTTACGAGAACCGGAACGAGTTTTTACTGGATGACTCCACATATTAAGTTTACTGTATGCAGTTCTCAAACGTTTCGGATTATGTACGATTCAACAACCACAGAGCAGGGCTAAAATTTGCTGATCATCATGTTGGCAAAGCAGAGAAGCAGCTTCCTGGTTTGCCAAGGCGAATCGCAGCCCTACCGGGTGCTGGCATCAGACTGCAACTTTCATTCGTTCTCTTATGACTACTCCGGAACACTATGCTGTCCTCGGTCAAAGCCTCGCTACCCGTTTTCCGGCCGGTTACCATGAAGCAGCGTGAGGTTAATTACTTGTTTAAATGAATTCTCGGTTTCGACAGAAATCGTCCCTCCTCCTCCGCATTTGAGTCAGCTCCTCCGGAGTTCGAAGCCGACCGCTTTGCCATTTCTTCAGCCACTGCTCCCCACTTCTTCAGCGACATCAACAAAGCATAAATTTCTTCGTTTCGTTTGATAACGCTCCGTCATGAAACGGATCGAGCGTGATCCGAAATGCGGAAAGATGCGTATAAAACAACTTTGGTGCGCAGTGCCATTTCGTCATGGATCTTTCCAAGTTTGAACTTACTCCCTCCTTCATAACTGATTCATTTAGTCTTTCATATCACGAACTGTTGAAAGGCTTGGTAGATTTCCTTCCAGTGTTCGAGACGTCCTCAAAAGAATTGCATCCTGAACAAGTGAGGGGGCAAAATCAGGTTAACTCTAAGCACAGCAAAACTGACAGATCACTTCGTCGGTTATTTGTATAGAGCACTGTTCTTCCATCGAAGATAACAAACTACCGGGGTACTAGAAAATGGAAAGGGAAGATGGTCTGTATTGTAAGGGATGACTGAGCAGTGTATGGACAAAGGAAGAAATGAAAGGAAACTCAACTGACTGGTGAAGAAACTGAAGATGCATCATAATATTAATAATTGAACCATATATTGGTGAAAAGACAACGAGTTCGTGATTCTTCCTATTCCGCATTTCACGGATTAGATCTTCAGGTTCTGCCGTACTTTGTAGGAGCTCTCTTAAGGTCAAATAATAATAAATACAATATTTCATATGCTGACAGGGACAGAACTAGTTGTGACTGAAATGTTTCAGAGATTAGAGCAAGAGCGCATATTGGATAATCCTGATTGCCGATTTTATTTAGTTGATTGCCTTGTATATTGACTACCTTGATATTTTATCACTGTGCATGAAACATTGAAATGTTGTGCATTGTAATATGTAATTAAGCCCAAAATATTTTCGTACACCTCAGTATGATAACTGACTTTGTGTAAGGAGTACCAGCTCGTAAAACACCGTTCGTAGTGGGCTTGAGGTGGCTCTAAGGTGCAAAATAATGCGAGTACCGCAAGTGACACTGCAAGTGCTCATATACCAAAGATCCATTGTCTACTTAAATGGTTCCTAGGTAATTGTGAGCAAGAAGCTGTTCAATCGAGTCTTGGAAGAATTATGAACCATGTAATAAAGGCAAAAGAAAATTCACTTAGTATCACTTGGATTGAGGAAGCAAAGACAATAAATTAGGTGCAGCACCAAGGACGATGATACAGAACGATTTTACTAATGATCGGTCCTCTGGAAATAAAGGCCGAGTACCGCTGTTAACAATGTCAAACGTTAGCCGCGCGACACGTTTGTTGTAAACCTAATTTAAAGCAGTTTGGGAAGGAACCTCACAATACCCTCAACAAATTCAGCCTTGATATCTGCGTCGCAGAGAGAGGAAAATGATCTGAAATAATAACGACTGGCGCCATATTGTGAGGTACGGCTAAATGCACCTTTTCAATCGTGAAGAGCTGTCATGAACGATGAATTTTCGATTGAAGAGACATTATTATTGAATGACTGTCTGATCTAAATCCAATTTTGTGCTTGAAGCAAATCTGTCTTACAGAAAGATAGTCTTAGTCTGAGCGTGAATTCTCAAGATCGGTTGAGAATCGCCATCTTCATGTGTTCTTCAACAAACCGAAGTGTCCTTTGAAAAGAGAATGGCTGCTCCTCTACTGTACCCAAAAATGATCCGTTCACTTTTAAGAAAGGAATATCATTCGTCTTTCAAAGTAGATTTCAGCTAAAAATGCAAATTAAGTCGTCATTCCGTCTGGTCTGGGTGACATGGCAGTTTCTACCGTTGCCCTCTTCATAGCCTTCGCTACACATGATCAAAACAGTAAAGGAGAACGCTACTGGAACACTACAATGCCATGTTCGTCATTTCAGAAGGAGGTAGCTACATCTAGTGCGAATAGTCCTGTACATGACTCACCAGCTCGCCACCATGAGGTTTAAGATTGCTTTTCATCTATCGCGTAAATTCCAGATGTTGCGTGCTTCTGTATAGTACTTAGATCAACGTTTAATGCATTTTAATTGATAAATATGAAAGCAGTGCATCCATTGGCAAGTTTTTCTGAAAAACATATTTATCACTTCTATAAAGTACTATGCATTATAAAAAAAGCTTTGCTGGCTTTGACAGCTTGCTTGAAAATGTGTAGATTTCTGCTCATGTTCCGTACTTTGCCAGATACCGGCTAACCGACTTCCGAGTCTTGCACTTCTGTATGTCTGGGTGAACAACTGGGGTATTTTGCTATTACTGAGATACCATTCGATTAGAAATAATGAGCACACTTATGACGGTAAGGGAGTAGAAACTTTACTTCTATCCAGGTGCAGTTGTGCAGTTCATAGTCGCACAGTCATAGTTTACAAAGCGGTGAGGCAATGCATCCTCTCTCTATGACTAGAACCCAATAAACGCGTTGGGAAGTGAAATATGGCAAGCATCCTCAAGGAGGTCAGCATGCAAGATACTGGCAAATCAATGTCCAAAGAAAAACTGTTCCATCCCTAATTCCACCGGTTATAGCGAAAAGTGTGATAACTTGACAATATCGCGGAAATAAAAGTCAGGGATTTAAGTACGTACGCGAATCAAGGTGTGATCACAGCCGGCGGCAATTTTGAGGTGTTAGGTGTATCTATGCAAAATATTTCGCGTAAGTCGATTAACACCAATGGCTATTACAACGTTTTTTCGTTCCAATGGGTTTTTCCTTTACATCTCTGCATTTATACCACTGAAAAGTAAATTCCTCATCGAGTGTATAACCTAACAGAATATTGATTTTCAATCGAGTCTAGACTCGCTGACAACGAAATTCAGTTCTGGTTGTAATAGGGATAAGGGTAATGAGACGCATCGACTGATGAGTGAAACTTTACACAGTTGTTTTGCATATAAGCATCCTAACTGTGTACAAACAAATAGCTTAATTGATGACTTCTGGGCGGAGAATCGAAAAGACTTATGAGAAACATGTGAAAGGAACACCGTTCACAGATGGCTGGATAACAGTGATGACCTGTTATTGTAGAGTCTTAAAAATCTAGCATTATGGAGCTTGTCGTTTCGCAGCCAACCGGAAGCTACTATCGGAAAGGCCTTTTGAAACATCGCTCACTGCTGCTGGAAAGGAAAGTGGTCCTAGAATATGAATGATGGGACGTTGCACTGCTCAAGGAGAGTGGTATCCATACCAAATCGCACCAGTAGTCCATACTGTTAATAATAAGATGCGACATATGGAGTTCAACAGATGAGTGCTAACGTTTTCTAGAAAAAATTTTATTATCAAGACATTGATTGACCTTGTAATCAGGAAGTAGTAGTCCGGTTGGCAATGATCATCGAATTTTTGTGCAAAGTTGGCTACAGGCCAGCGGCAACTGGTAATTTCTGTCCTGAGGTCATCTACTGGGGCTGTGCCATCGTAGAACATCGGACTCAAGTCAACCCGATTTTCAGTTGAAGCTATAATCGTGTCTTACGGGCCTCCCACTTTTCTGACAGATTACTGAATATCATTTCAGGCTACATCCTACAGTAAGCGTCTCGTATAGATATATCCTAGAAACAGCAACATTGCACTCGTCTGATCACAGGAACAACGACTATCACTATAGCATGCATATACTCCGTGACGAAGGGGTGCCGTAAATGGAACCCGTCACGGAAGTGTAAGGGAGACCGATGTTCCAGCTTTTGCGAGCTTTGTACGTTTTCACTCAGAAGACTGTCACACTTGAAACATAGACCCTGAGTCTGTACTGACGCCAGTGACAGAGTCGAATCGTCTATTTCTAAGTTGGTGAAACGACCCCGGAACCAGCTAGGCAAAAGCCACGCTGCCATGTGCATTTGTTTCAGAATATTTATGACATTTGGGCCAGATGATGAGTACCACCTCTGCCGCTGCCGCAGCACTCATCCCTCGCTTTGTCGAGCCGACAGATGAAAACCGACATCGTCGTTTAATGACCGCCGTCGTCGACCACCATCGTCGCTTGGCGATGGAATGTGACCACGGAAGCTCGGAATGAAAGACGGTGCATTAGCGAAATGTGTGTCGTCATGCTGAAAGTGAATCCACTTCATGATGGCGGCTACAACACAGGTTTTGGATTCGTGCGACGGCCATATGTTCCACTTCCCTGCCTTCATCCACGCCGAACAGACTACCACCACTGCTACTGCCACTGCAACCGCGACAAGCACGTGGTTGATGGTCCGGTCGCCGTCAACTCATGTGCTGGCCAACGCTTGTTCGCCTGTCCGTCGGACAGAAACAGAAAAACGGCTATCTGACCACCACTGGTGGCCGTCGCCGGTCGGACCAACGAGGCCGCCGCCGAGGTTCCTCCGTATCGCGTGGCTCATCTTTTGTGACTCACGTCGGGGACTTTCGAAATTTGCCAGTGATCCCCCATGAAGATCACAATCAAGATTATTAATCACAACTTACAACTGTACTGCGGTTCGCTTTTATCGCTGGGCTAAAGCTATAGCGGTACTCGGGTAGACGCAGTTCTGGAAAGATGCCACTTTCGTACTTCCTGAAATGCCTCGATTCGCAAGAAATCTCATTTTATCACTCAGAGGTCTTCGAAAGGAACATTTATCTTGACCTCTGAAGGCCCCCTAAAACTGTCAGTTGATGAAAGGACAGTCATTTGACGTCAGTTCGTAGATATGTCTAAGCTTTGTCGTGGTTGAGCAAGCCTAATCACGTGTACGTAAGATCAAGGAAAAGTCACAAAGCCACCAGTGGTACAGCTTAACCTTTCTCCTAATAAACTCAGAAGATCAGATTGGTTTTTTCGAGGATAATGAAAATTTAATACTTATTGCTTAAATAAACTCATTTTAAACACGTATCCCACGCAGTGAAAAAACGACCTAAATATTTGTCATTCGTTGCTTGCATATTGTTAATGGCAATGTGGGGGCATTTTGAATAAGCAAACATCATACCCAGGGCGGCCGAAAAGGCAAATGTCCCATTCCTCCGTTCTGTTAGCTTTAACAGTCAAGGAATTCAAACAAATATTCGATGGCTTAGTAATAATTTCATAATTAGTTTCATTCTTTACAGCTTTGAATAGAATAAAATAAAATTTTCACTTTTAACCTGACAATTTCTGATACCCGCTTTGTGTTGCGTCCAGCTCTCTTGCTTCCAGACGCCTGGAGGCTCATTTAAGCTGTCCACGCTGTCGCCGTATTCCAGTACTTACAGCACATCGGATGCAGCACCGGTAGCCTCAGCTCGGTTGAACAAAGGTGCGCCGCAATCTGCCATTCAATTTCTTCCTACCATTTTGCATCATCAGTGAACATGACCCCCCAAGTACTTGAACTTTTCCACTTCCTTCACTGCTTCTCCATTTATCTGAAGGGAACAACGGGCAGGAGAACGAGAAAGCATTAGGCTCTTCGTTTTAAATACGTTCACATTCATGCCGGTCACATCAAACTGAGCTGCGCACCTTCCTAGGCAGCATCGTAGAAGTTTCAGAGGATGCCAATAAAACAAGGTCGTCTGCAAACAGCTACCTTCTCCTCTGTACATCTCCTACGATGACGCACTTGTCCCCCTGGCCGCGCTTGACAACCCTGTCCATGTACAGCAGAGACAGGAGAGGAAACAGAATGCAGCCTTGTCGAAGACCAATTCCGAGGTTAGAAGGCTATTTTGCCTAGTATAGCACTTGCCATCAACTTATGGTGACCACATGGCTCGTAGTACCTAGTCATCGACCCTATCCGTTTGTAAGTACTACTGTTGCTTGTTTCGCGAGATCCGGTGATAGAATTTCTACAGGTCAACAAAGAACATGTAAATCAGATGAGCAAACTCTCACGGTTTCTCAACAATCTGGAGTGAAGCGAAGATCTGGTCAAAGATGCTTCGGCCTAACTTGGGACGACACTGCCCCCCGTTTCAGCACCTTTGCGTAGATTTTCTCCAAGAGGCTACATAAGGTAATACCCAGATATTTGAACAGTCCGTATGGTGTTCCTTCATGACTGGCTACTACCATCCCAGATGTCCATTCTACTGGGTCTTCCCTGTTGTCATTGCATTATTGACAGAGTGGCGTTAGTTGCCTTGGTCACCTAAAGCTTTAAGCATCTCAAAGTGGAATTCGTCGATTCCAGCATCCTTCTCGCATTTCAAGCCTTTTAGGGCTTCTGTGCTTCGTCTACTGAAAAATTAATATTCATTGCATGCTTTCTCTAGTCGAGTCATCCTACGGCTGCTCTGAGTTAATCGGTTCCTCAACGTACTCTCGACATCGCCAAAGTATATCTTCTTCTTTTGTAAGAAAGCGTCTGGACTAGTTCTTAAAGACTGTTAGACTGCCTTCATTCCATCTCTAAAGGGGCGGATGGTCTGTATCTGTCACAATACCTTATTTGCTGTCTGGAAATTCGAATTCAACACCTCACTGTTATTTACCGTGGAGTCAACTTTCGCCTTGACTACTCGGTTCACCGCCGCCCTGGTTGCTTCCTTATAGACCGCATTCGAGTTAAAACCTCCGTGCTTCTTCATTCTTAAAGCCACATTTTGAATGCAACTTTCTTCTCGCTGATTGGTAGTATGCCTTTGATGTTCACCGCGAAGTGCTTCTGAACATCAGGTGGCAGGCGAACCCGTCTTTAACCGCAGCATTCCGCGACAGCCTCGAATATGCCGCTCTTATAAAGAGCTGCCACTGGGTTTAAACATCAGTGGTCATCACAGGATCTGTTCAAACCGTCGTCGATGTTGTTTGCAAATTTCGCTGTCGTATATGCCTGTTTGATTCTCTGGCTGCTTCGGCCGTCAAGTTTCGGATATACTCCATCGTTTGCAGCGGACAGTGCAAACAGGAAGGTGGTCATAGGCTGACACCTCAGTTCCTCTTTTAAGGCGAAAATCTGTTACTGAGCATCGTACAGTACCGTTATCAAATACTGTTATCAAATCGATCATCGAGTACTGTACACAAGTTTACCTCTACCAAATATAATATTGCACATTTCGATGCTTGAGGAAGGTGCTCGTTAAGTCCGTTGGTTTCTGCAAAATTACAACCTCAAGATCTGACTGTTGGTGAGATCGCTAGCACTTTCTTTCCTTTCACGCCTTTCCACTTTTCGGTGTTTGCTGCAGCTTGGGCACTGAAATCGTCAGTCACAGTGGTGGATTCTACAGCCGATACGTCGTAGGAGCATTTTCTGCTTCCTCCAGGAAGGACTGTTATTCCCTCTCTGAACTGGACACATGGATCTGTAGCAAGGTCAAAGGTTTAACGTCTTGTAACTTCATCCGCTGACAGATTCCGATTCTATGATTCTATCAGCAAGGTTGGGTTCTACCAGAACAGCGACACCGGCCTGAACGCGCGTCGTCATATCGACACCTGAATCGAATAGCTTACACCTGCAGAGGTTCTGAATTCCGGAGCTCTGGCACTTCGTTGACGAGAGCCTGGCCTTTTCCAATCGTTCCCTTACAGCTTCACAGTTCTAATTCCTGTTCTTTCGCTCTGAGTGCGGAGATGTTCCAATTTCCTTTTGTGAGCCATCAATTTCGGTATCGTTCCCGCGGAATCTTATCTGACATGCTATAACGGAATTGCGGAGTGTGTCTCCTCCGTTCAGAGTAGGTAGAGTATCCGTTGCTGACATTCAATGTAAGGGATTACTTTACAGGGGGAAGTACGGTAGGACTTGTTCCTCTCAGCCACCACGATAGAGTGGCGTGAACCTGGAAACGGTCGGTCAACGAGACTCTGACGGATTACTATAAAACCCTCCCTGATAATCATAACCGCTCCATGGTTGAGAAGCCACTGCCGGTCAGCAGATGACCCCTCCCCCATCCCCCAGGAAGCCGATGGCGGGGTCTGATTCGCAGGCAGTACCTGCTCATATTGAAATGACGTGGATGCTTTAAGGCGCTCTGCATCTCCCTTGCTTCCATAAGATAGAGCGTAAAAAACAATGAACCAGAAGAGGTATAAACTAAAATTGCTACACCATGGTTTCAGTTCTTGAAACTTGTCAACTCGGGGATTCGAGGATATTCTGCTGAATGGCGCAACGATTTTCCGTCAGGTACAGACACTTGACGAAGAAGATCATGGCTAAGATGACGAATAAAGCTCAGATATAAAGTTTAAGACTGCGTTTGATTGCGTTACAGTCGTGGATTGGCCATATATTTCCTATCGCCAGCGAACATCGCATTGACCAAATTAGTTGAACAACTGAGCCACATGAAACTTAACAACAACATATATGATAAATACATTGTTTGCATGGTGATTTGAGCTCGAAATGAAATTATTATTGTTATTAAAGTTTGCAATTGAAATCATTCTCGTTTCCTTAATGTTCATGAATCAGCTGGGCCCATTCTGAACTGAACACAAATAGGAAATGACGAAGGGAAAGTTAGTAGTACTTCATGGGAGAGCGTTGTATAAAAGCACTGGATTAGCATCGAACAAAACCCGTTAGCCGGTGTCATACTGCTGCGTGTACATCGGCACGGCTTCGTAATTAGGCGATACATGTCTGAGTGACAGAAGCAGCCATGACCACAAAAAGACGGAAACCCAGGCAGTGTTAGAGCGTAGTTCGTTCGAACGGCGGGAGCTGACTGCGTCGAGAAGCAAGTCATTTTTCGATCCTCATTACTG